CCCGGGCAGAAGTGCGTGGGAGCTGTTGTCATAGATCAATGTAACTTTATCTACTCCATATACCCCCAGTTTTAGTTCTGAGCCTGTCTTTCCCTGTGGTTCTTGTTATTTTCGGGGAAGTTATCGAGTATTGAGAGAAAGGCTTCTATCTAGGTTCGACGTGTTTTAGGCATTTCATCGGACTGTACCCGAGCAGGTGGATAACAAGGCGAGTGGTAATGCTCGTGTCTTTATGTGCTGTTTGTTGAACTTAGACAGATATACTTGGAAGTTGGAACTATTACTGATTACAGTAGCTGAATTTGCATTTGTTTCTTGCAGTAAAAAAAAATCGAAACTCCTGTCCATGTGCGCCTGCTTTGAGACACATATCAGAACAAGAGTTGACTCGATAACCTATCTGCCACTAGCATATCAAGACCCTAACGTGTTCAAGCCTGGGTTTCCTACGGCAGTACCAAGGGCATGCGCAAGGAGTCCCATAGCTAAACTTGACTTTTGTCTTCCCAAGACCTACCTATAATATCATCACAATCTACCCGGGCCAAAGTTGTGACAACAAATATTCGGGAACACACACACACACACACACACACACACACACACACACACACACACACACACACACACACACACACACACACACACACACACACACACACACACACACACACATACACTCACACACACATACACTCACACGCGCGCCCAGACCAAAAACAATACCTCCATTTTTCATAGCTAAAACTTAGGGGACTAAACTTAGGTAGCTAAACTTAGGTAGCTAAACTTAGGGGACACACAGATAGCCAACGCAAGACAGGGAAAACATACAGAGAGTGATTTGACACACCATTAACGAAAGAATCGCTACCCTCGTGTCAACTAACTAAAACACTACGTGTCAACAGCTTGTAGTGTGATGTTACAGATCAAAGACAAAAGTTCAAACTTCGCCCCTGCCATATTGCCACCAGGAATGACATATGCCCTCCCTGCCCTTGGTGCTATCATTTCGCCATACTTTAAATGAGTTCCCTTAATGGAGACAAATCAGACCCCGAGATGACCTTGTATGACCTTTAATGACCCCTCTGTTACCCTAAGGCAATATGGCGCCTACCCGTGTACTGACCTGTGACCTAGCCCCTATCGTGCACTGTCCCCTGGCTGTAATCGTTTGATAACTTCAGTTAAGAATTGATTGTTATGTGAGAACTCGAGGGAAAGACTCTGGGTCAATGTATGAAGTGGCTGGGACTTCTGAATCTAGGTCGAGCATTTCTAAGTATTCTGTCACTAGGTCACTGTGACAGAATAAGCCACTTCGCGTGACCGTAACCCCCTTGGTGACAGTAAACGATTGAGTGCCGAGTTTTGTTTAGGATGTTGAACATCTTTGCATGTTTATCTAGTTCAAGAATTAGGTCATCTTCACTTTTGCGGATTGAAGCACTGGTTTTAATATTCTTTCCACAGCATTTTCTCTTAACTACCGTGGAAATTATAATTCTTTGAGCAGCTGTTTGTGCAAGTCAAAAGTAAGAAAAAGGTAAAAATATGGAAACTTTTTAGCATTTGGAAGACAATCAAGTGTCTGAATAATAACTAATTTGAGCAGCGTTCATTCATAATTTTGAAAAGAAATAACTTAAAATCTCAAAACGTTGCGCTATTATGCACCTTTAAATTTCATAGAACATAATACTTTTAATTAGATAATCAATGCGGAGAAATTTGATTATTTGCTTCAGAAATTTGTTATGAAGCAGCATCGCTTGATACAGAAAAAGTCTTTTTAGTCTCTGTTCTACATTTTGGCCCCGAAAGATGGTTATACAAGTCAGTTCTCGATGGAGTGGATTGCGAATTGTCAATATGATTTTGTATGATAGAATAATATTCTGTTCCCAAGAGTCGCTTGGTCCACTTTACACAATGTTTCTGTTATTGGATCATTGTTATCACAAAAAGGGGGCAACATAATCGTGTCAAGTATCACTGAATTCAAATTGCCTGGAACTTCATCGGAAAGTCGATTAGAAGAATCTTACCGCATGCACGCCTTTTATCCACTTTGGTTTACTGTGGACGTAACATAGCATTAGGTCTGGTGTCGGCTCACTTACAACTTACGATCCTTTAGCTTCTGAGTCACAACATCAGACTTGAGTCTCACGTACTGAAATATCGGTGAGACTTTATTGCAAAAGACAAAAAAACGACGATGGCTTGAACTGTACAGAGACATACACTGCTTTGGTCTGTCAATTGTAGTTTGAAGTCAATCTACAGCCAAGAACAGTTATTATTATTATATTTAGCTTATGAGCAAAACATCGATTAAGTTTCTTCTGATGGCTTTACGAAAATCCGAACGAAAATAATAGTGAACACTATAGTCTATTAAGTAGTAAGCATTTGGTGGCAAGCTACCTTTATGGTGAATTTCAGGTCGTTTGGTTTTCGTATAAGCGCATAGGAGACAGGAAATGTACATTTTTGGTCAAAAATAGCAAAAAAAGTCCCATTTTACATAATTTTAAAATGACACACTGAAAAGAATCTACTTCAATCATGATAGCATATAGTCCAACGAAATAAAGGTAAATGGACTTTTTGCTATATCACAACAGGAACGTACTGTGGTGCAATGCTCGTATATGTTCACCCTACAGAATCACATCAATCTTTATAGTTATAGCATAATTCATAAATACCGTAAGCCTGTTAGGATCCACATACTTTATGATCATATATTTTAAGAGTAATCCGAAAATTGATCCACCTTTTCATCATTTAGGAGCTCTATAACGACGTGCGCATAAATCTGGTATGATAGACGTGATCAATATGAACCCACGATTATTCATAAACAAACGTCGATAAACTGTATGTAGCTCTGTGACTTCAGTTTTTTATATGCCAACATGTAAACACAAGACGTGGTGACGGCACACTCAAGTTTTTTCAACTTGTATTAATGCCGCCACCAACACAGGGGACAATACAATATAATACTCATTTTCACCTGAGCGAAGTGAAGAAATTCGTGTAAAGTGCATTTCGAAAGGGCACAAGATCGGTGGCATGTCAGGACTCGAACTCGGGACCTCTTGGTTCTGAGTCGAGCACTCTGTCGCTACGCCACACGACCCGACTTCAGTTTCTTTTGATGGTTTCTTTCAACTCTTTTCACTATATAGTTTCAAAATGGTAGCTGCTGTCTTGTGGTAACGACATGGCATGACTTTAATGTATTGTCAATGGTTTAAACTGACTGACGTCTTAGCAGCATTAAATCTCAATTCTTTTACGCCTAAAACTATGACTCAGAAATCCATTCCCTTTGCATCATATCAAATGCGGCGTGCAAGTCTTTTCCTTATTTCATTTGCTTCAACTTTCAACTCAAAAAAGGCTCATACGAACCACTTACATTTTGTGGATAACATTGAGATACTATAGAGACGGATGTTTTTTCACCCTAGACTTAGTTTAAGGTATGTACCAATTTTGGAAGCATTCACAAGAAGCCTGTTTCATAGTAATGTAGTTCTTGGAACGAAAGCTTTCAGCGTGGAACTTCCTCCTGAGAGATGGAGTATGTAGGAAGAAAGGGTGATTTGCTTCCGTAGTGGTAAGCAAAACGCTCCCGAGGACTTCGAGAACCAACATGGCGGCCGATGAGTCGCCGCTTCCGAGTAAAGCGTTCTGAAAAGGGCGCTGAACCATCATCAAACCGTGTACCACGCCCAAAGGTGAACCGGCGGACCTGCTCACAAGTGTTAACTAATGAAATTAGGGACAGCTTCACAGCTGAGCCGGCGAGGATCCGCCTTCCGGTGCGGGGAGAGACAAAAATCGATACGTATCAAGTGGCGTCAAATTTTTCATCGCGTCGCCGTAATGCCATTTGTCCCTGTCATGGCATGTCAGTTCCGGGCTTGATAATTGGGTTGTAATCCTATTGGTTACGGTCTATGAAGCAGTCGGGCAGCAACATGCCCTTATATCCCACGCTACAGCCATTTTAATCAATTAGAGGGGAAAAATGACAGCCACATCCCACCGCTAACGCGAATTGGCGCTAGCTTTGTAATTGCATTGCTGCGAGAGGACACCTCAAGCACAGGGCACTAGGTTTTCTAAAAACAGCAAGTTTTAGTGCTGCCTTTTTTCGGCTGTTCGATTCAGTGTGTTCGAGTAATAAATAAGTTCTAGTTCTACTTATGAACCGCAGCTATGTTTTGACCATGTTGGAAGCTGTTGGATTATACGGTATTATAGCTGGCTCCAAGCTAAGAAGTTGCCTAAGGCTATGTCGGTACGTAGGGCGCCTATACTTAGGAAGTTCTCGGGTAGGCCTGTTTCCTCAATCTCTTCTCTGCACCAAACAAAAGCCGAAACTATGTCCTAACAATCCCAGCTGAGTTAAACAGTTATTCATTTGTCGAGTGACATTAGCCTCCACCAGGCCTTCCTACTTAAGGCAAATCAGATGCCTGGTGGCAAAAGCATGACGGTTACATCTGGCCATCTAGAGAGAGAGAGAGAGAGTCCTCAGATGATCAGACTAGGTGGCAAATAGTAACTGTCTGGCAAATGTATATTGCCTGGCCAATTTGACAATGTCTTTGCAGCCACCAAAAGATCTGCTTGGAGATTATTCCTACGGGGGTACGATCGTAGGATTCGGCAAAAAAAGGAAATAGTTGGCCAGGAGAGTCAGTCCGCTAGAGGATTAATTTTCCCCTGTGCAGTGACGAAACTTCTCTTTTTAATTGATCCCCACATTCGGCTAAATTTCACAGTTTTAGAACTCGCGTTGCTAGTCCGCTACAGACTAGAGTGACATCCATGTCCTATGTGCTTACAGGTTGATTGATAGCGGCACGACGTCACGAGATTAAGCAGAGAAGGAAAGCCGATCGGATGTCACAGGGACGCAGCAGACTGCACAGTGGAAGAGCTAACCAGGACCCGAGAAACCCATCGAAAACATCGTGTGCCATCTTGCTCTGTAAAGGAACGACAAACGGGTAAGTAATATGCCAGTGTAGTCGATGAAGTTTGAACATAGCCTCTACCAGGCACCGCGGATCGCTGGAAAAATAGTAGAAATTGGCCGAAATAAAGGGATAGCGAATTGGATCTTCTATGGCCCGAGATCTTCTCTGGTATACTATCCCTTTTATTT